GCCACATATATACACAAACACATAAAGAAAAAAGCATATACTATTTAACAAATAATTACCTATAATAAATTTAAAGCAGTTTTAACAAATTACCTCTTTTTAAAAAAAACCTCAAAGCAGCAAAAATACACACCTGGTAAAGTTAAAGTAATCAGAATATTTTGCTATGCTGCTTAAGAATACTTAGGAGTCTACAAAAAAGCCCATGTACAAAAGTTCTGGAAAAGTTAACATAAATCATTAATATTTCCCAGCACAGATTAATATGAAGATTCAAACATGTTTCAAGAAATGAGCTCTGAATATAGATATAAAGGAATTCTGTCAAAGGTTAGAGACCTAAAACTTTAATCTCTTCCTTTTCTCCCTTTGAATAGTAATTAAATACAAAAGCCTTCGGCAGTAAGATACTAAGGATACAAAATTTAAAAGCGCATTAATATAACCTTAACTTCAGTATTTCAAGAAAAGCTTTAAGTATTCACTGTCTGTGGGATGGAAAAGTTAATATTACCCTGAGCAGTTTCATTTTTATCAAAACAGTTAAATGTTTTTCTCACTATTCACAGAAGCAAGTTTCTATATTTAATTACTAATTGGGGTTATTTCATAAAGAACAGTCACTTCTAAAATTTAAGATATGCTCATAAACACAGGGACTTCTAATTATCTACATTTTATTTTATTTTGGTCAAAATTTGTGAACACGCGATTAAGAAAGCCACAGCTTAGGCTCTGAGTGTTAAATTTTTGTGTTATTTTTACACAGAAATACTTCAGTGTACTCCTCTAGATTTGAGTAGTCATTTCCTCATGCATCCCTCCAAAAAAAAAGATATACACATGTACCTAATACTAATGCACACAAGTACACATCTTTTACACTTTGAAACAAGTTTAAAAGATTTAGTAAGAATTTTTCCCAAAGTTAGCAGAATCAATCAAAACAATCAAAACCTCAAGCATGACATCTGTTACTCTGTGCGTTAATAAGAGTCTACAAAAGAATTGAGAATTTAAATATTCACTAAAATCAACTACTATCGTATCAATGGAGAAATGAAGAAAAACTTTAATAGGGGATACACATTTCACAAGATCTACAAAAGGAAAAGTGATCTTTTTCTTAAATTATGAGAAACTGCCTTGGCAGCATTTTTTAAACAAAGCTTCAAAACTGTAACAAAGAGCTTTTTGGTAACCACAGCAGTATTTTTTTTTAAAAATCATAAGGTGTTTGGGGTGCACTTTTAATGCACTCATTTCCCAAATGATATGGAGAAAGTTAACATTTTAAAGACAGAAGCTTCTGTCCATGCATTAATTAGTAACCTATCTCAACAACTTAACATCTGCATGGCTTCTGACAATTTACAAAGAACGCTCGCATGTATTATCTCATTTGATCTTACTTAGAAAAAAGTACAGCATTATGCCTGGAAAACAGACAAAACTCAAAGCAGGTTTATCAAATTTTCTATACATTCTTAAGTTTTTAAACTTTGACATAAAACTTTACACGCCACCAAGTAGGATGATATTTCCAGAGATAAATCAGTTCACCTAATACTAACAAGAGTTTCAAATGACCATGTGCTATAAATGCTATGAAACTACTTTTATCTCTATGGAGTTATTGTTAAGTGTTACTAATGGACATATCATCAGCAATGATCTATACCCACAGATATAATTTTACTTATATTTCAAGAATCTCAGTCTTTGGAGGCCAGTTCAAATACATCAACCATATGTATTTATAAAGCCGATTACCTAAGAATTTACCTATTAGGATAACTGTCCATAGATTTGAGAGAAAAATAAACACAAAAAGTATAAAATTTTCTCCATACAGTATCTCCCTTTCCAAAATCTCAAGTAACTCTTCCAAAATCTCAGGTACTACTTGTATTAATATTATAAGGATGATCACAAAATGTCCCAATTCATACCAACTACTTTTGTTTATAGCCATTGTACATAATACAAGACTAATTCCTCTTCGAAATAATTCCAACAGCATTCTGTAACTAGGCGCAGCATCCTTAAGATATCCACAAAAGTCTACTTTGTGTAATATCGTAAGCAAGTAAAAAGCAGTCAAAGAGTTCAGTTTTAAATAGCATATGTAATTTATTAATGGAATTTTTTTTAGTGAACTTACTCAAAATCTTTCTGGAACTTTAGGGTGTTAATCCTGTTGCTTAGTTGAAGCTACGAAGAGCTATATTAAGTACCAAGACCCTCAAAATTCAGAGAGTTGCTTTATCTTGCTGTAGCACCTCCTGCTGGATAGCATTTAGAGCTCTTCATGTAAGCAGGAGAAGAATATATCTGAGGCAACTCCTTCCAGAAGATTGAATAGGAAAAAGGATGGACCCTTCAAAACTAAAAGAAATAGGGCCCCATCCATCACTTTAACTCTTAAAAATAAAATCTGGCATAGGGTATAAGTCTCTTTAACCTATTACGATTCCAGACCCATAAAGACCTGCCTAAGTCCAACGTGCAAAATGCTTAAAGAAAGCTTGTAAAATTACCTAAAAACTATTTAAAACCCATCAAAAGCACTCAAGCAAAAGACTATTATGGCCAGGCAAGCAATGCCAGTCATATTGGAAATACTATTATATTAACAAAAGCAAAAGTCTGACATAAAGAAAAGCACCTGGAATATTTTTAACATGTTAGCCAGAAGTTTGTGTTTTGAGAATTTTCTGCACTACTACTACGCTCTTCATTTAAGGATAGTTGTACCACTACAGAAGTTTTAAGTACAGACATATTTTTTACAAACATGAGTAACTACACATAAAAACATCCTCTTTGCCATCAAAAGCTATTCCTGAGATTTTAAAATTCATTCTTCATTTTAAATAGCCCCTATAGCTCATTTTAATTAAGCCCATGATGTAGACCCCTTATACAAGTGGAGACAGAAAAAGAATAGGCAGGCACTTACCAAAATGAAAATGAAAATAGTATTTCCAATAAAAATGGAGTAACAGTTTCCTACAAAACCGTGAAACCAAGTAAATTGTGAAACTTTTAAAAAAAAAGGGGGGGTGGGGGTAGGGGTGGGGGGGAGGGGGCTAGTCTTCAAAACCAAAAGAAAAGCTGACCTATTTATGTCTACTGCCCAAACATGAGTGAATACCAAATGTAAACAAACAACATAAACACTGAAAAGTACACTTAGGTCTAAGCCCCAATTTCAGTTTCTTTACCAGGCCCTCAATGAAACTGCAGATGTTGATGAGAATCCTCTATAAAAGGAGATATTCCGGCTCTCTGCCCTAAAGAACCCCTATAAAGTGTGCCTGTGAAAAGGCTTCCTTCCTAGAGTGCACACACTGCTTTAAAAAAAAAAAAACTTTCACCAGTCCAAATTAATCTGATTCTAATATTCAGCTATCAATTATTAATATACAAATGCTCTTCCTTCTCTAAAGTCCCCAGCTAAAGCATCCACATTCCTAACACCTACTATTAAAAAATGAAACAGCTCGCTCCCCGGCGATGGGGCAAATCTTTGAAATCCAAAACACAGCCACAAAGTTCACTGTCAAGGCCAGTGCCGAGGCCCACACAGGCCCGGACCTTCACTCCCATCTGAGATTCTGGAGAGCCATCCATGCAAAGACATCCTTTAAAAACGACACAATGTGGACGTGCAGAGTGAGACCCTCCACTTCAAGACCCAAACAAAGAATATTTCCACAGATGACCGGAATATGATGACACCAGATTTCATCAATGAAAACAAAACCTGCCTACCATCAGCAGTCATCCCCTGGTCGCCACAACTCAACTACTTAGAA